TTCATGTTCAGAGGCCTCAGGGTTTTTCCACTTCTGCCTTCAGTTCAGTTTAAATAGAAAGGATACTGTATGTATGTTTAATGTACAGTAAACGCAATAAAAACACACCTCTGCACACTGTCTCATATCGAAAGTGAATTAAAGCATCTGGGATTTAAAAAGTGGCTTAAAGCTTCATTTATTTGGCAGAATTAACAGACCAATGTTATTATGTATTTTATTATATTGATTGTACTTTGTTCCTAATTCTCTAATCATTATAATATATACTTTGAATGTTGCAAATGTTTCCAAATATTCAAACCAATATACAATTGACCAAATGCAGGATCTGATGATAACCGGTTTAACCTGTTGTTGTTGTTGTAGAGTTTAACCTGTTACTCCAACATCATAAATATAGAGTTGATTTGATAATGTGAAGTTTAGATTAGACATAATGAAACAAAAACATCTGTACGCCTCATTTACCACATTGATTCATAGTTTATTTAAAACACAAGTTAAATCAAATGAACCAAACTAAACTTCAGTCATTGTATGTTACATTACACTGAAGTGCACTTGAAACGGAAGTTGCTGCAGACTTCAATTTCAGTATGATGATGTTTTTCTAACTGAAGCTGAATATTGAGTAGGGGGCGGGGTTTAATTTCAGTGTGATGATGTATTTCTAACTGAAGCTGAATATTGAGTAGGGGGCGGAGTTTAATTTCAGTGTGATGATGTATTTCTAACTGAACTGAATATTGAGTAGGGGCGGGGCTTAATTTCAGTATGATGATGTAATTTAAACTGAAGCTGAATATTGACTAGGGGGCGGGGTTTAATTTCAGTGTGAAGATGTATTTCTAACTAAACTGAATGTTGAGTAGGGGGCGGGGTTTAATTTCAGTATGATGATGTATTTCTAACTGATGCTAAATATTGAGTAGAGGGCGGGGTTTAATTTTAGTGTGATGATGTATTTCTAACTGAACTGAATATTGAGGAGGGGGTGGGGTTTAATTTCAGTATGATGATGTATTTCTAACTGAAACTGAGTATTGAGTAGGGGGCGGGGTTTAATTTCAGTATGATGTATTTCTAACTGAACTGAATATTGAGTAGGGGGCGGGGTTTAATTTTCAGTATGATGATGTATTTCTAACTGAAGCTGAATCTTGATAAGGAGGCGGGGTTTAATTTCAGTATGATGATGTATTTCTAACTGAAGATGAATATTTATTAGAGGGCGGGGTTTAATTTCAGTATGATTATGTATTTCTAACTGAAACTAAATATTAAGTAGGGGCGGGGTTTAATGATGTGCTCCGCCTCTCGTCTTTCGCTTGCATCATACTGAGGGGCGTGGCTAAGAATAATTCACCCAATCTTTCAAACTAATGTCATCAGAGGGAAATGGATGGGCTTACCAATGATTATCAAAACAAGTGTTTTTTGTTCAGAGGGTTAACCTGCGTGGATTAATAAACAATGTTTATCAGCCAAATAAAGGTAATTTTTGTACCATGTGCAGGTATAGTGTATCCAAAGTCATATTGAAGAGAGAGAAACATAACAAGTTACTTTTTTAAAATCTCCTTACGCTAAAATCGGATCCAAATCCCAGTGATTTAGTCATTCATTTTAACATGTCTCCGTAGTAGCGCATATAAACATGTCCACAGAACAGGATCTGCTATGAAACTGGGATTAAAAAAGATCTGTTCGACTCTGTGATCAGCTGCAGCTCAAGAATCAGTTGTACAAGTTTTTACAAGATGTTAAATGTGGCTTATTTTGTACAGTAGCGTACTGGATTTAAAAGTGTATTAACTTGTATCCTGTCATATTTACCGAGACGTGCGAAAACAGTGCAAAATTAAATGCGTGTGCATACTGCGAACTTTGCAACGGCATTTGTGTGCGACAATGAACTGAATTTCTGCTGCATTGCTGTCTCTGTCACCGACTGCTGTTTATCTGACGCAGAACGAGAAACAGTTGTAGGAGTGGTGGACGGGAACAGAACCAGCTCATTTGCATTTAAAGGCACACGAAAAAACAGCTACAGTATACCTTAACTCCAGAATTACCATATTCAGTGGGGTTTAATAAATTATCTGATGAGCTGAAACTGAATATTAAGTAGGGGGTGGGGTTTATTTAATTTATTCATTTTTCTTTGGCTTAGTCATTTATCAGTGGTCACCACAGCGGAATGAACTGCCAACTATTTTGACATAGGTTTTATGCAGCTGATGCCCTTCACAGCCCAGTACTGGGAAACACCCATACAAACTCTAATTTACACACACACTCATACACTATGGCTAATTTAGTTCATCAATTTCCCTATAGCACATGTGTTTGGACTGTGGGGGAAACCAGAGCACCCTGGAGGAAACCCACACCAACGTGGGGAGAACATGCAAACTCCACACAGAAATCTGGCACCTGAATCAGCAACCTTCTTACTGTGAGACAACAGTGCATCTTAAAAAGAGGTAAAATAGGAGCCCTTAAAGTTAAATTGACAGAACGGGTTTGCATCCCTTCTTGAAAATTCAGTGCACATTACTTCCTTTAAACTTTGTACTAACACAGTCATTGTGCAAACTTTCTTTCTTGAACAGTGAATATCTGAAATGGCACTTGGAAATGGACAAACTGGTTTAAGATATTTAAAGACTACTTGCTGTTCCAGTGTCGCTCCACCCAAACATACATAAAGGTTGCTGAGACTGAGGGTTTCAGTTCAGTTCAGTTCACATGGACACAGGTTTGCTCCACAGCAGCATCAGACCTCAGGTAAAGCCAGTTCTCTCGGGCTCCAGTCCCACTTTATGTTATTGCCTTATATCAGACTTGGAGGCCACAGTTCTTATGAACATTAGCTCCAATTAGTGTTGCATTCGTTAATGAAAACTATGACTAAATATCTTCGTCAACGAACCTTTATCACATGATAAAACGAGATGGATGCGATGAAAATGCTGGTCATGTGACGATGACTATAGCTAAATTTATAATGCAATATTGTTGATGAATAAAAACAAGACTAGAACTATGCTAACATCTCTTCATTTCGTTGACTTTGACAAGACGGATGTAATATTATTTTGTTTAGTTATTATTATGTTGCAGTAAGGTTGCGCTGTAAAATCAATGACTGTATTTCTTTTTCTGCCATTGTTATGGGATGCTGCTTTAATTTATAATTATTTCCTTCAAATGTATGTGTGTGTTCTTTTAATATGTTTGGTTGGTCAAATAAATGCTAATTCAAATCACAGCATCATCTGTCTTGCCTGGGATATATGCGTTATTAAGTTTAAGATAACAATAACATGCTAATTAATTCAATTCATCTTTATTTGTATAGCGCTTTTACAATGTAGATTGTGTCAAAGCAGCTTCACATAGAAGTTCTAGTAGATTGAAATTGAAATATGATCACTTTGTTTGAAATGGGTTTGTCTAAAAGAACATTTTGGTTTTGTTTTTACTGCTATGTACTTATATTGACTGGGTTAAATAGAATTGCATTACAAAAAACAACCTAAAATACAATTTTCATTGACTTAAACTAGACTAAAATGTCAGTTTTTGTTGACTAAAAATAGGATGATTCTAATTAAAATAAGAATAAAATAGACAAAAACCTGACTAGACTGACTTTGACTAAAACTACATGACTAAACCTTTTAAAACTAAAGCGTCAGCTTCACACAAAGACTAGACTAAAACTAAAACTGAAACAGGCTGCCAGAAAGAAGAATAGCTCCAACCAAGGTTAGTTTAGTAAACAAAAACAAAAACTAAACCTATAGGTGAAGTAGCTTTTTTGCAAACGTAAATAAAATAATAATAAAAAAATCACAATAAACGAAACAAACAAGTGACTGAAAAACTGAAATAAATAATTATCAGAAATAAATAATTGTTTTTAGGGTTAAACTCATTCTGTGGTGTAAAATCTGACCTGCTGTTAAACACCTGGGGCCTCATGGATCAACTCTGCGTGCACCAGATTTCACACTCACGTTTGGATTTACTAACGATAAAATGAACGTCAGAATGTGCGTTGGTCCATGCCAACTTCATGTCTGGCGTACGTGTGTTTCTTGTGTGTGTGTTTATTTTATTTCCATTGGCGACTCCTAGAGACAATTATGTTAAATTGAACATTACAAAGTACTGCAACAACACACGTGAAAAGCATTGCTATTCGTTTAAAATTGATACAAATAAATTAATTGACAACATTTTTACCAATTATGTGATTTAGAGCACAAAAGCATTTGTAAATGTGTACAACCCTTAGTCTATGAAAATTGCAGTGTTGGCCTTATTAGAGGACATTGTCAATGGTCGAATCTGAGGTCTCCAAGGTGGCAGGGTGCGCGGTGTGTGACTTCTTAGTGAGTGATGTATTTAAAGATATTACTCCAGCTGAAGTTTTTAGTTTTATTTTATTGAGCGTAATTATTTAACTGCATATCAGGAGACCGTGCTTATCCATTAAAGACATGGCTGTTAAACCCTCTCAACAACCCACAAACTGACCAAGAGCGCAGAGACAATGATGGCCATTCTCGCACGTGGTCAGTTGTAGAGCGGGTGATTGGGCAGCTGAAATGCCGGCGGCGCTGCCTTGATAAGAGCGGAGGGGTGCTGCTATACTGCCCTAACAAAGTGTTCCTCTAATACATCTGTGTCTCTCACAGACACGGATACTACTCCAGACAGTAAAGTGTCGCCCATAATTGAGGCAGCTCTCTCCTCAAAGGGTGTTAGTTCAGCATCCCCTGCTCCCGGCCTGTTCGCTCCACACTTTGGCGCTGCGCCGCTGTTCTCCTCTTAACCTGCACCTTTACATCCGACCATTTTTTTTTTAAATTCACTCACAATGTGATATTCAGACCCCACTGTGTTAACCGCATCAGCTAAACTCTCCCACTCTAATGTTTTTCTTTTGTCATAAATTCTGGAGGACAACTACTTCCGACAGGAGCACCTCACATTCACATTCTGTGAAGTTTCTCTTCTTGCTTGCTTTTGCCATTGCTTTTTCCCTCGGGACACCAACAACAGGTGATACATCATTATCATGCCCCCACAAGAGCAAGCTCTTAATTGTACAACGAGGCGCGAATGTTCAGATTTTTAAATACAAGCAATTCGTGCGAAACACGCGTTAAGTGGATCAAACGCACAAAACGATCAATTCGCGCTGCGTCATACGTGCGTATCGTGCCGCAGGATGTCTATTCGTGTTTATGCATTGACTTAACATGTAAATCACTCACGCTTGATGCGCCTTCCGCGTCTGGTGTAAGCGCAGCATCAGTCTTCGTACATGAGGGCCCTGTTGATTGAGTTTTATAGACAATCACATCAGCCAAGAGCATTAGCATAAACAAAAACATTTTCTACATAAAGCTAACACATCTAACTTTTCATTTCCTTCAGCTTAGTCCCTTTATTCATCAGGGGTTGCAACAGCGGAATGAACTGCCAATTTATCCAGCATATGTTTTTACACAGTGGATGCCCTTCCAGTTGCATCCCATTACTGGGAAACACCCATACACACTCATTCACACACACTCATACATTCATTTCCTTGTCGGCTTAGTCCCTTTATTAATCTGGGGTCGCTAAAGTGGAATGAACCGCCAACTTATCCAGCAAGTTTTTACGCAGCGGATGCCCTTCTAGCCGCAACCCATCTCTGGGAAACATCCACAAACACTCATTCACACACACACTCATACACAACGGCCAATTTAGTTAATCATTTCCCCAATAGGGGCGACGCAGTGGCGCAGTAGGTAGTGCTTTTGCCTCACAGCAAAAAGGTCGCTGGTTCGAGCCTCGGCTCAGTTGGCGTTTCTGTGTGGAGTTTGCATGCTCTTCCTGCGTGTGCATGGGTTTCCTCCGGGTGCTCCGGTTTCCCCCACAGTCCAAACACATGCGGTACAGGTGAATTGGGTAGGCTAAATTGTCCGTAGTGTATGAGTGTGTGAATTTGTGTGTGGATGTTTCCCCGGAGATGGGTTGCGGCTGGAATGGCATCCGCTGCGTAAAAACTTGCTGCATAAGTTGGCGGTTCATTCCGCTGTGGCGACCCAGGATTAATAAAGGGAATAAGCCAAAAAGAAAATGAAAATGAAATGATGAAAATTCCCCAATAGCGCATGTGTTTAAATTGTGGGGGAAACTGGAGCACCAGGAGGAAACTCACGCCAACACGGGGAGAACATGCAAACTCCACATAGAAATGCCAACTGACCCAGCCAGGACTTGAACCAGCAACCTTCTTGCTGTGAGGTCACAGCGCTAACCACTGAGCCACCTTGCTGCCTGGTAATGAATATGTAAACGGCAAAATTGGTGTGTTTGGTCTTGGCGGTATATATCTGCTATGCTGTTTTGATTATTATGGCAGAGGAAGTATTGAGACCTTCTACTGCCAGGATGTTCACAAACATGCTGTCTGAAAATATAATGTGCTGCTAGTGCCAATATTATATATATATATATATATATATATATAAACACAGGGGGAGCTGGGGTGGAGGAGGGTCTTCATAAAAGCACTGCAGTTTAACAGAGTAGAATGACACGGAGCATTTAAACTGATAAGGAGCAAGCTCATTGGCTGTTGAGGTGAAGGCAACCAATCTCCTGTGCCATGAAAATAATATTGCAGAAGTAGATTAGTTGACCTATCAGTCGGCACTCACATAGATTTTAATAACTGACAAATTGATCAAACTCATTGATACCCAAAGAGTAAAATCATACACCTCACTACTGAGGTCATTTCAATTGTATTTACATCAAGATAGGGGGAAAAAGGACAACCTAAACTTCCAACCTTAAATTTAAAGAATTAAAAGTTAACAACGTGCAAACGTGCCCAACAAACAAACAAATAACAAACACCCCGTCTATTTACACTGTCTGCAGGTCACAATGAGGTTTCTGATCCTGCTGTGTGTGTCACTGCTGGCGATCAGTGGTGAGTGATTTATAATCCATTTACCAAGTGCATCAGAATCAATAATACAACATCAATATAACCACACAAATATCTCTGTTTGTTTGCCATTATATTGTCAGAAGCTGCACCAACCAGCATTGATCCATGCTACAATTACACCATTCTTGATGAATACTGGAGAGACATACGACAAAGCCAATATCAGTCCTATGGACATAATGACAGTCTTGTTGAATGGAGCGGCTGGTATCGGCTGTATCTGAATGGACAAAGTGTGCAGATGTCTGAGTGGTGTGTGAGTTATATTGGTTGTGGCGGTGACGTCGGATTGAATCTCAACGGTTCTCATCCAAGACTTGAGGATGGAGTGGTGACGCGTGAGGTTTTTGGAAGTTATATGAACTCTTACCAGTGTGGAGGCTACAGGTCTGCATCCATCCAGGTCAAAGCCTGTCCTGGAGATTATTACGTCTACAAGCTTGTCAAGCCAGATCTGTCGATTTACAAGCCGTCATACTGTGCAGGTAATCTATTTATTAAGTGCAATAAAACAGTTTCTGTGCTGTACATACCTAGGGCTATAAATCATCAAAAATAGAACCAACATTACACAAAAACATTGAATGCATACAGCGGAAACAAAGATAAGGACAATAAGATCAATTTCATCTCAATTGAAACTTTTTCTAAAAAATTTAGTTTGAGTTTGAAACTTTGAACAAGGATTCATTATGCTGCGTTCACACCAGATGTGGAACGCGCGGATAAATCGCGCTATTCGCACATAAATAGCCGCGTGAACATTTGAGTTTACTCGCTTCATTTGTACATCAAATTCACTTCAGAACAGACGCGGATTCGCGTGATGGGCCGGGCTTCTGTCTGCCCGGTGACTCTAGCTTCATTGCTAAATAGCTAACATGGATTTTATGAAGAAAATAACAGTGTTTATGTGTTTTATGAAGACTGAAAAACAGCGTTGATACGTTTAGGGTCGTGTCTGAGTCCACTACATCCTTTCAGAGGTGCAGCAGCTCTGTGAGCTCATAAACTCCTCCAGAAACTGAACCTGGCTGACGGAGGCTTTCAGCGGTGCTTCTGACTGAGTCTAGCCTAGTTTGATGAACTGTTGTCGGTGTCGGCTGGAGGATTTCCCCTGGGACACCCACAACAGGCGATACGTCACAATCACATCCCAACAAGAGCAAGCTCCTGATTGGTTAACGTGGCGCGAATGTCCGCTGAAGTTCAGACTATTGAACTCAAGCAATTTGCGCGAAACGCGTGTCAAACGCACAAAACGCTCAATTCGCACCGTGCCATTCGCGCGTATCATGCCGAAGGATGTCTATTCGCGCGTTTGCATTGACTTAACATGTAAATCACTCGCGCTCGATGCTTGTTCGGCATCTGGTGTGAACGCAGCATTATAGATTGTTCTAATTCAACAATCCCCAACAGGGGGGTCCCGGCCCACAAGGGGGCCTCAGCGAGCTCTGTGGGGCGGGGGGGGGGGGGGGTGGGGGGTCGTGTCATATTTTTTTTTACATTACATATAGCAGTGGACAATTAGGAGAACGATCATGATGCTTAGTTCATGTTATCTCCTGGCTGACCTGAAAATTGACAAATTTGTAATTCGTTCTTCACAAAAAAAGTCTCACTGATTCACCTTCATCAGCTAATTTTAATGACCCAAGCATACTGGACCCAGGTGAGGAAGCTCTAAACATTTTGGGGCACAGCGCTAGCATTACTGGAAACATGAAATGCCAAAAAAAGTTGCCTGAACTATGGTTTGTAGTCTATTTTCTTAAAGCAGAGTCCCTGACCCAGGCAAAGTGCATTATCTGCACCAAAGTTCTAGCTAACGAATGCGTGAGGCCGTTTAAATTAATAAGACATTTGCAGATGACTCATCCCCAATACTGCAAGGTGTACCCAAAACAAACGGTCTACTGATGTTTAGCATTTATAATTTACATTAGGCTATTATTTGCGCATAAACATATAGATGGAAGTTTATTCATAAACTAATTTCCAGAGGATCATGTGATTAAGATTGAATATGGCTGGTTCTGCATTAGCATGCATGATCCTTAGTTCCTAAGCTGAAACTACCAAAAGACTACTGCGCCACGCCTTGCGCCACACTGCGCCGGGTGTATGATAGGGCCCTAGAGGTGTGAAAACACCCTGCTGAAACAGGGGGGTTTCATGTCCCTTTAAACATCTGCCAGATATTTTTAACAGCAATAAGATTAGAAAGATAAGGCAGTGCCTGACCATTCAATACCTTAAAAGCAAAGTTAACTTGTAAACTCTGATCTAAAACATATCGCCAAGAGGTTAAGGAAGCACATTATGGGTGTAATGTGTTCAAATTTACGGGTGCCAGTAAGAAGCCTAGCAGCTGCATTTTGGACAACTAGTAGGTGATTTATATAGGATTGGCCAATACCTATATAAATGGAGTTACAATAGTCTAAGAGTGATGATATAAATCGGCACAAGTTAAAAAGCCTTTCACTTTGGCTAATAATCTCAACTGAAAAAATAACAAGATTTAACTACTGCATTGACCTGTTAGTCAAACAGAAGGGCAGAATCAAAGATGAAACCTAGATTTCTTACAGATAAATTAATGTTATCAGACAGATTGTCCAGCACTAGTGGTACGCGAGCTTACTTCAAGTGGTACTCGGAGCAATCACAGAGTAATGAATTTGATTCGTACAATAACACCAATGTGATCAGCATTGGCTGTTCTCTAAAGCCTACGATTAAGGCGCTGTGTGTAAAAAGTTTACTTTAGTGCATCAGCTGCTAAAAATCAATTTAATTGGCGCAGAACTAGAGAAAGAGGTGCGTGGTGCTTGCAGAGCAGATACTTGCTAAAGCAGTGGTCACAAACCCTCGGGCCACAGACCAGCACCAGTCTATAGATTAATTGGTATCGATCGCACAAAAAAATCATTAATTGTTTCCGTTTTATTTATAATTTAAGTCTGAATTTTTGTGTATTTTAAAAAATCTTTTATTTTCAAAAATGACCGCATTCTCTTGTTACATCTTGGTCACTTGAGTGCCAAAATTCAACCCACAGGCTAGCAAAATCAGTACTGCAGCACAACGCAGTACTGTATATTCCAGGTGTCCGTAGTCGAAAACACCCTAACTTTTCAGAATGGCGCACTGCGAGTCACATGACAAGAACCAACTGATCAGCTTCATATTTTGTATGGAATATAATTTCATGAAATGAGTATGACTCTGCCTCCTTTTCGAACTGAGCAGTGCTGTAGCTGCTTAATTTGGCCAACTACGCTACTCTATTTCAATACCGATGATTCTGGTGGTACTTGGAGAGACAATTTTTTTCTGAGCTGGTACTTGGTGAAATTATGAGTTCACAGTTAAAAAGTGTTTATAACTGGTTTTTAGACAACAAACTTTCTTTACACATGGGTAAAACAGAGGCTATTTTATTTGCTTCAAGAGTGAAATGAAAAAAAGATGATAATTTTGTAGTTAAGATTAATGATTGGAAAATTCAGTCAAAAATGTTGTAAATTATTTGGGTTGTTTAATAGATAATAAATTATCAGGAGATGCTATGGCGAAAAAAGTTTTTACGAAGATTTGTGGAAAAATTAGGGTTTTAGCAAGGCAATCTGATCTGTTGGATGTTCATTCTTTCCAATTGTTGGCAGGAGCTTTAATTCAACCCCATTTTGATTATGCCACGTCATTTTGGTACAGTAGCTGCTCACAGAATTTGAAGGAGAAATTGCAAAAGGCACAAAATAAATCTTTTAATAAATCTTTTTATCTTTTAATAAATTAGGTATGTTAACTGTTAGTAAAAGAGTGTGTTTTTTTTTAAACTGGGAATGGTACGTAAAATGTTTAATAATGTGGTTCCTAGTTATTTGATGAACTATTTTCAAATGGTGAAGCAACAGCATTCATACAGTACTAGGAGTTGGGACTTTAATATTTGTTTAAGTTTAGTGGGGAAAAATGTTTTTATATACAAGTGCAATCATGTGGAACACACTACCAAAATCAATCAAGGAAACAAAAGATTTTAGGTTGTTCAAAAAAGCTATCAAAAGATGGTTGTTTGATGAGGATAATTAGTTTTCATGGTGGACGAGGATGTTTTAATTTATATGTTACTTGAGTGTGAATAGGGTTGCGGCTGGAAGGCCATTGGCTGTGTGGAACATGTGCTGGATAATTTGACTGTTCGTACCGCTGTGGCGACTGTTTGTTTTATTCTTCATTAGTATTTTGAAGCCATACATTGTTTTTATTTAACAGAGGACCACAATGTAAATAAGCCCAGGGCTTTATTGTGTTTTTATCCTCGACAGCTTTTTTTAATAAAGTGTATGAAATACTTTTTGTACAGTTTGTCTAAAATCTGTCAAATAAAATTCAATTCAATTCAAAATAGTTTAAGAACCACTGCCTTTGTCGTCGTCTTATATAGTTAAAAAAATTCTTTGACCTTAAATTCTCCAAGCCTTAACCTCTAGATCAGGGGTGTCCAAACTCTTTCCTGGAGAGTTTAGCTCCAACCTTAATCAAACACACCCAAACCAGATAATCAAGCTCTTACTAGATATACTAGACCAGGGTACACCAATCTCAGTCCTGGAGGGTCGGTGTCCCTGCAGAGTTTAACTCCAATTTCCCTCAACACAACTGCTTGGATGTTTCAAGTATACCTAGTGAGACCTTAGCTTCTTCAGGTAGATCTACAGGACATCCGCCCACCAGGACCAAGTTTGGTGACCACTGTACTAGACACTTACAGGCAGGTGTGTTGAAGCAAGTTGGAGCTAAATTTTTCAGGACACCAGGCCTCCAGGACCGAGTTTGGACACCCCTGCTCTAGATACATAGAGTCCGCCACTATCATTTTGCTTGAGAGGCACATAGATTTGCGTGTCATCAGCATAAAAGGGATAAGATAATCCATACTTCCTAAGTATTGAGCCCACAGGAAGCATGTACAGACAGAACATAATATGAGCAGGAATAAACCACTGGGGAACCCCACAAGTTAAACACATCAGATTTAAACCACTCAAGTACTGCACCTTTTAAGCCAGCATTGTTAATGACAGTTTATGTGGGGCAGAGTTGTGTATTAAACTTATATACACTACTTAGGCTAGCATGAATTAGTTCACATAACTAATCACTAAAATGTTTAATTAGTCTAGCGATGCCCAGAGTAGATCATTTTTTTCTGAAATCTAAATGTAATCAACTCATTGACAGTTGCTTTCCAGAACATCAGCAGTGACCCCTGCGACAGCTATGAGTCTATGGATCGTCCCTGGAGAGCCAACAATGAAAGTGGAGAATATATTTGTGATGAGTCTTTCTCCTGGGGCGGATGGTACCGGCTTTTCTACAATGGAATGGACATCCGAATGTCAGAAACCTGTGTTAGTGAGTTCATGTGTAATGCATTTCTGAGTCTGTCTCTCAGTGGTCCTCATCCTCAGACTGAGGATGGAGTGGTGATCAGGGAGGTCCAAACAGGAGCCTCTATGAGGGGCAGCTGTCAATACAGATCCAAACCCATCAGAGTGAAAGCATGTCCTGGAAATTACTACGTCTATGAACTGGTGAATCCAAATTTCTGGTGTTCGGGATACTGCACAGGTACCATGATTATCCCCACTTCTAACTGTTGCTTATGTCAGTGATTTCAGATTTATTTTCTTTATACAGATGTTAGCACCATTTCACAATCTGTCCCCACCATAAGTCCAAATATAACCACTGGATCCAACATTACCATAAGTAAGTAAGTTGATTCAACATACAGTAGATTTTATCCCCAATGTAGTCAAGGGGCATGATTGTTTCCACATATAATTTGTCACAGCCTTATTCACAAACTAACTTAATTCAAAATTCTACAAACAATATCCCATAATTTCAACGTGAAAGAATTTAGTTTGAAATCATTGCAAATAAAGTTTAAGTTAATTTAGTTATGGAGCACAATTAAAAACAGTCACAAGACTTACCAAAGTGCTGTACATAAGACAAAGTAAAAGAAAAGACAGATTATAAAAACATAGAAATAAGACAAGAGAAACATCTGAAAAAAGTAAAAATGTAGCAGTAGAAAGGACTATAAAAATAATTCTAAAAAGCCAAGCAAAAAAGGTAAGTTTTTAGGAGTAATTTAAGAATTGATAATGAGGGAGCCATTCTAATCACAAGCGGAAAGCTCTGTCCCCTTTACGTTTCAGTCTGGACTGAAGAACTAAAAGAAGATTTTGATCACTTGATCTAAGAGTTGTCAGGGGAGTGTAAAAATGCAACGGCTCTCACAGATAGGTTGAGGCTAGATTATGAAGGGATTTACACAACCCAGGCTCATTCTGAAAACGTAATCCCGTGGACGTTTCTGAAGACCGTGAAATACGTTTCAGGAGGTACTTATTTTTGCAGTTTTAGTTTTTTGCAAATCCACGAGAGGGCGCTGTGTGCGCTTTTTCGTATGTCAAATGTCTCTCACGAGTGCCATTCGTGTCCGCGCTGTTCTCGCGTAAACCCACCAGAGGCCGCTGTCGACCAACTGTCCATCTGACTGAATGATTGACTGGGCGACCGGCCAATCGGCTGACCCACCCTCCTCCTTCCTTAAACCCAACCAATTTTACCGATTGACCCGCCCACCCACTTACTTCCCTAAACCCAGCCGACGATTAACAAAAGCCATAAAGAAAAAGAAAAGCCCTCATCTGATTTTTACCACATTTTCAGATTTTACCATATTCTCACCCTGTTATGGACTCATCCACTTTATTTTTTGGATTCTGTTTTTGTCTTGCCTGATTTCTGGAAACGTTTTTCCCTGGACTCGGTCATCATCGTGGTCAACTCCTCTCTGTGCTTCAAGTCCACCGACGTACTTGTCAAGCTAACTGGACAAACTGGTTGCAGCAGGAAAGCCCTCCACACGGAAGTAAGCGGTCACCCGGTAAGCGTGAAAAGGAACAACATCATACCGCTTGTAGCGTTCACTTAAAAAATGAAATGCAGCCATACGTACCTCCGGCTATATAATTCGCGGTCTCCAAAAATGTCCACGGGACTACGTTTTCAGAATGAGCCTGTGATGAATTTATATACCAGAAAAAGTACTTTCAAACCAATTCTGAACTTGAGGGGCAGCCAATGGAGGCCCCTTAGAAAAGGTGTAATGTGGTTATATTTTCTGCTGTTACAGATAAATCTTGCCACAGCATTTTGGACCAACTGAAGGCGAGAAATTTGAGATCTTGAGATGCCACAGTAAAGTGCATTACAGTAGTCTAAACGTAATGAAAGCATGGACAGCCATATATTATACAGTTCAACTATAACTGAACTGTTTGGCCATAATGGTCATGAGTTTTTGCTGACATTTTAAGATTATAAGGCTAAACGGCATGAAATGCCATCAGTCTACAGAGATGCGTCCCTACAGTATTACAGTCTACAGCATTCCTCTGTTGCAATCGGAATATCACAATAATTAACCCTAAGAAAAGCAGAGCAATCACTACCAGACTGCTGTTGTGTTTGTAATAAGGACAAACACTAAACACATGCAGGCATTTCTTCTTTCTTTCTGCCAACACAACACACATTCCTGATATGCGAGTCCCATCTCACACTCAATACACTACATATTAATTATATGGTATAAATACAGCACTACAACATACAAAAGTGAGAGATCAACTAAAAATGTCACCTGTTTTATATTGACTTGATCAGCTGTAGTTAGAAATGATGCTGTTTAATCTTCTAAGGGCTTATTATGCAGTCTCTGTTGCCATCTTGAGGATGGGCAACGTTTTTTGGTCTGCTCTACTAATGACTAATGGCCGCAGATGTGCTGTCAGAAATTATAAATATTTTAAAATAGGTATTATCCTTATAAATAAACTGCAGAATTGTAATCTAAACAACTACATTCTTGACTAAAAAAGCCTCAAAAGTACATTATGTAAGTAGGGTGTCCTCAGCTTGTCGCTGTATGTGGCTGGAGTAATACACAAGGGATAATCGTGAAGAGGCTGGACGAGTGCTGTTATTGGTAGAATATTGCATAGCCATCAGCCAGTCAGATTCAAGAACCAGACAAAGTGTTGTGCATTTATTTATTTTTTTAACTGGCCATGAGGCTAAAAAATTCAAAAGTTTTGAGTTAAGGCTGGGAATGTTTGTACTTTTTTTCATTTTTAATTTGCAAAGATTTCAAATAAACTTTTTGACATGTTCTTTATGGGGTATTGTTTTGAAGAAAATACTGAATTTAATCCATTTAGTAAAAAAGGCTGTATTAATGTAATGTGGAAAAATTGAAGCATTGTTCATACTTTCTGGATGTGTTGCAATTTGTTAATTTTTAATAGAAATGTGGTCTCATCAGATAACGACCCGTGCATTAACTACAACATCCTCAGCGATGACTGGAGAAGCACAATCAATTACTGGTATCAAGGAGATTACATAGCTGAGCACGATGACACTCTTGTTAGCTGGGATGGCTGGTATCGACTCTACCTTAAAGGGTTGAGTGCTCAGATGCCTGAATGGTGTGCATCTTACATGGCGTGTGGAGGCTTTAGTGCTCTCTGGCTTGGCGGATCTCATCCTCAGCTAGAAGATGGAGTGGTCACACGTGACATTTATGGCTCTTACTATGATGAGGGAAGTTACTACAGATCTGACCCAATACAAGTCAAAGCTTGTCCTGGAGAGTATTATGTCTACAAACTGACCAGGCCAGCTCTTTCAATCCCAGCTCCAACGTATTGTGCAGGTACATTGATTTTTCTTAAGATTTTACATGCTTACTGTGAATTGTATTGGCTATATGGAAGGGGACTTTTAATCTAAGCAAAGGACGCTCGGGTGCTTTTGGTGTATTATAAACTCAATACATTTTAGATTTCCTTGTTTAAAACCAATCATCTACAGTACCTGATTAAGACAGAATAGCATGGGTCTCACAACACCAGGGCTCATTGTGGATATGTACCCAGGTTACATTTCCAGTAACCACAAATATGCACCCAGGGCTGTCTGCTTGCAGTTTTTTTTCCCGCAAATCCATCAGAGGCACCTGTGTACATTTCTAACAATCTCAAATATGTCACCGGGGCACCTTTTCTCTCTTGTACGTGGGCCATTTGCTCTTCCCTGACTGTCGACTGACTAACTGATTGACTGACTCACCCGTCCCTTCCCTAAACCCAACTGATGCAATGGCTGAATGCTTTTACCATAATTTTACACTGCTTTCATTTTCTGGAACCATTCTTTACTGGACTCGAACCTCAGTCCAGCTACCAAGCAAACGGGTCTTGCCGGAAAAGCCAGTCAGTGGTAGCGCTAAAAGAAAGTTGTCAGCCGCATAATACCTGCCCACAGTGTTCATTTTACATACAAAATGCAGCCAGATACCCTGGGTACATATTTGCAGTTTGCAATATAGACCTGGGTACGTATACACAATGAGTCTGTGTTGGTCTCACACCAGAAAAGAATCATTGCATTTAATCACATTATGCTACACCATGGGTTTACAAAATGAAATTTACTTTGGTCTATGGGGTTTCAGTGCTTAAACATCCTAATATCTCATCACACTTGATCAACTTATTGAATGCATTGGTCTTGTTATTGTACTGAACTCTGATTATATTAAACTGTCATTGCTGTTCAAGGAAACTTAAAATTGAAGATAAAATTACGCCAAACCTTTTACCGAAAGTTTTATCATGTATAGAGTTGTTTATCTTATCTTGAAAAGATTAAACTGAGGCTTTATTTTAACTTTTTCTATACTTAGTACTTTTCACTAGCCCAAGTGTCGACCCCTGCTACAACTATACCACTTTGGATGAAGCTCGCCGGTCAACCAGCAATACTGTTTACTATGGAATGTGCGATTATAACGTGAAGTGGAACGGCTGGTACAGGCTGCTCTTGAGTGGTCAGAATGCTCAGATGCCAGAATCCTGTGTTAATCGGACCATGTGTGGCACTGAAGAACCATTTTGGCTTAATAGTTCTCATCCACAGCCGGAGGATGGAGTGGTCACCCGTCAGGTCTGTGTTTCCTCATCGGAAGGCTGTTGTGGTTACACCTCACATCCTATTCGAGTCAAAGCCTGTCCAGGAAATTACTATGTTTATGAGTTTGTCAGGCCAATGTTTTGTGGAGTTTATTGTGCAAGTGAGTATTTACTTCAGAGTATTTACCTAACCCTTCAGTATGATACAGTCATTTATCTCTCTGTTTATTATAATAACAAGTGTATTAATAAGTATCAGAAATGTCAGATGTTACAGTCTCTTCAACCACAACTACAACATCAAGAACACTAACCACAGCAGCAACATCTAGAACACCAACCACAGCAACAACACCAAGAACACCAACCACAGCAACAACATCAAGAACACCAACTACAGCAGCAACATCTAGAACACCAACTACAGCAACAACATCAAGAACCCCAACTACAGCAACAACATCAAGAACACCAACTACAGCAGCAACTTCTAGAACACCAACTACAGCAACAACATCAAGAACACCAACTACAGCAACAACATCAAGAACACCAAACACAGCAACAACATCAATAACACCAAACACAGCAACAACATCAAGAACACCAAACACTGCAACAACATCAAGAACACCAACTACAGCAACAACATCAATAACACCAAACACAGCAACAACATCAAGAACACCAAACACAGCAACAACATCAAGAACACCAACTACAGCAACAACATCAATAACACCAAACACAGCAACAACATCAAGAACACCAAACACAGCAACAACATCAAGAACACCAACTACAGCAACAACATCAATAACACCAAACACAGCAACAACATCAAGAACACCAAACACAGCAACAACATCAAGAACACCAACTACAGCAACAACATCAATAACACCAAACACAGCAACAACATCAAGAACACCAAACACAGCAACAACATCAAGAACACCAACAACAGCAACAACATCAATATCACCAAACACAGCAACAACATCAAGTACACCAAACACAGCAACAACATCTAGAACACCAACTACAGCAACAACATCAAGAACACCAAACACAGCAACAACATCAAGAACACCAACTACAGCAGCAACATCTAGAACACCAACTACAGCAACAACATCAAGAACACCAACTACAGCAACAACATCTAGAACACCAAACACAGCAACAACATCAAGAACACCAACTACAGCAACAACATCAAGAACACCAACTACAGCAACAACATCAAGAACACCAACTACAGCAGCAACATCTAGAACACCAACTACAGCAACAACATCAATAACACCAACTACAGCAACAACATCAAGAACACCAACTACAGCAGCAACATCTAGAACACCAACTACAGCAACAACATCAAGAACACTAACTACAGCCACAACACCAAGAACACCAACCACAGCAACAACATCAAGGACCCCAACCACAACAACAACATCAAGAACACCAACTACAGCAACAACACCAAGAACACCAACCACAGCCACAACACGAAGAACACCAACCACAGCCACAACACGAAGAACACCAACCACAGCCACAACACGAAAAACACCAACCACAGCCACAACACAAAGAACACCAACCACAGCCACAACACGAAGAACACCAACCACAACAACAACACGAAGAACACCAACCACAGCAACAACACGAAGAACACCAACCACAGCAACTACACTAAGAGCACCAACCACAGCCACAACACGAAGAACACCAACCACAGCAACAACACTAAGAGCACCAACCACAGCCACAACACGAAGAACACCAACCACAGCAACAACACGAAGAACACCAACCACAGCCACAACACGAAGAACACCAACCACAGCCACAACACGAAGAACACCAACCACAACAACAACACGAAGAACACCAACCACAGCCACAACACGCAGAACACCAACCACAGCCACAACACGAAGAACACCAACCACAGCCACAACACGAAGAACACCAACCACAGCCACAACACGAAGAACACCAACCACAGCCACAACACGAAGAACACCAACCACAGCCACAACACGAAGAACACCAACCACAACAACAACACGAAGAACACCAACCACAACAACACGAAGAACACCAACTACAGCAACAACACAAAGATCACCAAGCACAACAACACCAAGAACACCAACCACAACAACAACATCAAGAACACCAAACACAGCAACAACATCAAGAACACCAAACACAGCAACAACATCAAGAACACCAACCACAGCAACAACATCAAGTACACCAAACACAGCGACAACAGAAACTACCGAAACAACATCAAGAACATCATCTATATCAACAACAGTATCCACAACAACAACACTAAGAACACCAACCACAGCAACAACATCAATAACACCATCCATAGCAACAACAGTTACCACAGCAACAACATCAAGAACACCAACCACAGCAACAACAGAAACCCCGGCATTAGCACCAATAACACAAGCAGTACAAACAAGACCACAAGACCAAAGAAGTTCTTCTCCAACGACACATACACCAATTACAACAACCAATCCACTAATGGAAACGACTGGTATTGTCTTCCTTTGATCATATGTACATTTTTGCTGATGTGTTTTTAATTTAGAAGACAAATTTTCAGTTTGACCGTTCATTACTGTGCAAAAAGTCATTTCTTATCAGATTTTTTTTGTCAAGATCAAGTTTTTGTGTAATATAAATGAGAGTTAGCACACAGATGCATTTGACAACATTGTTGTTTTAGGCAAGGATTCCTTGTCCATCTAATGCTGGTTCACACCAAAAGTGAAATTAAGGTTTACATGAGCAGAATACTTACAAAATTAATACAATCGCAAAGAAACACAGAACATTGAATAAGGTGAAAAACATAAAGTGAGTAAACTAGAATGAGTGACCTGGTGCTCCACTCTTAGTGTGAACCCAGCATTAGCAGCCTAGCATGAACAAGAACAGGGAGCACCACCATAGCTCCCAAACCATACAATGAATCACACAATGACGGTCATAAATTTAATGTTTTCTGACAAACTTCAGGAACAGCACGTTGACCACACTAGAGAAACAAGCAATGACCAAACACATAGGGGAGCTTAAGACAACAAGCCTGTTGCCATTACCCAAATACAGATATATTTCAGTTTATGATACTGGAGGAAACAAGATTGACTAGAGCAGGGTATTTTTGTAATAGCAGAAACCAGGGACAATGCAAGGCACGCCTTACAGGAGGTAAAAGACAGTTAGAGGGTTATCTTCTGTTATAGGCAGTGCCACATTAAATGTATTTGCCTGAATATATATATTCCTATGTGAATCCTGCATCGCTTATGTTTTAAAGTGGGTGTCTATGGGGGTCATTTTAGTACTGGAGTCAATTATACATTTTCTACACATGCACAGCCATTCAGAGAGCATTGTCCTTGGTCAAAGTTTAAGTATCTGAAGTCACTTTGTAGTAATAACTTGTGTAGATCCAATGGTAAATTTAGCCATGTTTGTAAGCAAGGAACTTTGTTTGTTTTTAATTTTACTTCTCCCCTTAGGTGATACGGATCCCTGTTCTGAAATCAGTTGCTCTGAGGACGAACACTGTGGGGAAAAACATGGCGTTTATGGCTGTTTATGTAACACAAATCATAACGGATCACATTCTGACTCTTTTGGTTGGTATCATTCAAAAACTTGTATGGTGTTTTAATAACATTTTAAAACTACTCTGACAGGAATAAGCAATCCAGACTTAATCTGATTACGTACCTCTATATACATTTCTGGAGGCAGCAAAATACGTCTTTTTTTTTTTTTGTTGCAGTTTTTGTTTTCACGAATCCACCAGAGCCCGCTGTGTATGCTTTTTGAGATCTCAAATTTCTCTCGTGAGTGCCATTCGTGCCTGCTGTTCTCATGTAAATTCACCAGAGGCCGCTGTCGACTGACTGACCTTCTGGCTGACCAACCAACCGATCCCTAAACCCAACCCAAAGCATTTTAAAAAGCACCGATTGACCAGCACCCACCCCCTTACCTAAACCCAACATCAGTGTTTTAAAAAGAAATCCGGAAAAAGAAAAGCCCACTGATTTTTACCACACGTTCAGATTTTACCACATGCTTACTTGTTTATTTTATTTTTTAGCTTTTGTTTTTGTCTTACCTGCATCTGGAACTGTTCTTCACCGAACTTGAACCCCGTTGTTGCAGTCAGCTCCTCTCTGCTTCTCAAGTCTATTGACTTATGTGTCGAGCTACCCGACAAACTGGTAACAGCGGTAAAGTGGTCAGCTGGTAAGCATGAAAAGGAACGGCGTCATACCGCCTCGAAGCGTACGTTTTAAAGACGAAATGCAGCCATACATAGCCCTGGCTACATAATATGCATTCTCCAGAAATGTATATAGGGCTACATTTTCAGAATGAGCCCATGTTGGTTATAATCTTTTGTTTGTTTTCTTTCAGATTTCTCAGAAAGCTGTGAAAGCAGCTCCGGCTTCATGTCTGTGTCTCGCTGTCAGCTCTTTGAGGCTGGTTTTCCAGCTGATATCCTACATCTGAATGATCCCAGCTGCAGAGGAACAGTCCGGAACGGCAGAGTGGAATTTCAGTTTGATAACGATGAACACATCTGCGGCACTAAACTTGTGGTAAGATTCATTAAGTCTAAAGTATTCATGTATTCATTTGAAGGGGATCAATCTCAGACTAAAGAATCTTCAAAAGTAACACTTAATATTCCCTAATGCCTATGAGATAAACCAAAACCTAAAGCACGATACACCCAGAACAAACCCATAATTCATTTAGAGGAAAAGGACGACACTTTTAGACCATGTGCCGGGTGCAATTACCATTTCTCCCATCCTTAAAATAGCATAATTGATTTCGGACACACCCTTGCACCATGCGCTTTAGACCATACACTTAGATCGCTAAAGTAAAGAGCCCTCTATGTGTAAATAACTCACTGTTCATGATGCTGCCTGCATTCTCCACCATTAATATCCAACTCACACTACTTAACTTGACTGGTGGAACTGCTATGGTTATGTATTTACAGTTATGACTTTCATATCTTGAATTTTGCTTTTTTTTTGTCCACAGGCCAATGGCACACACTTCGTCTATGATAACTGTATTCAGGGGACACCGAGGTTAGAAGGCGTCATCAGCAGAGAGAAAGCTCTGAAGCTTTCTTTCAGCTGTGCTTACCCGCAAGCGCAAGCTCTTTCCATGAACATGGAAATCAACCCACTGGAGAGGTGTGAGTCAGTTGAACTTTCATAAACATGCCAATAATAGCTAGAGCAGCGGTGAAAACATTTAGCCAATAATACTAAAAATAGATGGCTTTGAATTTATACTGTACCCGCAAAGCAGAGTCATTCTAATACAGCTTGATCTATTTGAAGTTAAGCAGGTTTAGGCCTGGTGTGTTCCTGGATGGTAGACCTCCTGCTCAATTCAATCAGGCCTTTATTTGTCACATGTACTGCCATATAGTAAAAATTGAACCCCCCGACCATACACAAACAGCCAGCAGCTAGCTCTCTGCAACTTTCACATGGTTGCCCACTGAAGCTAAGCAGGGCTGCGCCCGGTCAGTACCTGGATGGGAGACCACATGGGAACACTAGGTTGCTGCCGGAAGTGGTGTTAGTAAGGCCAGCAGGGAGCGCCCAACCTGCGGTCTGTGTGGGTCCTAATGCCCCAGTATAGTGACGGGGACGCTATACTGCTCAGAGAACGCCGTCTTTCAGATGAGATGTTAAAATTGAGGTCCCGACTCTCTGTGGTCGTTAAAAATCCCAGGATGTTCTTTGTAAAAGAGTAGGGGTTTCATCCTGGCCAAATCTGCCCACTGGCCTCTGTCCATTATGGCCTCCTAACTCTCCCAAGCATAATTGCCTTCATCACTGTCTCCTCTCCACCAATCAGCTGGTGTGTGGTGTGCGGTCTGGCGCAAAATAGCTGCTGTCGCGTCATCCAGGTGGATGCTGTACACTGGTGGTGGATGAGGAGATTCCCCCCCTTTGTGTGTAAAGCGCTATGAGTGCCCAGAAAGCACTATATGAAATGTAAGGAATTATTATTATTATTATTACAAACATCACAATTTTTCTGTGGAAGACACAGGAGGAAGCATTTAGAAAAAGGAAGTAAAATATATTTCAGGAGAGGGAGGTGAAAAAACTCCCTCTCCCCTTGCTCGTGAATTAGGGCAGTGTGAGATCAGGGAGATAAAAAAGCCCAGCAATCAGCACATGAACACACAGACATAGACATAACATCGCAACAGGGGATGTGGCAACAGTCCGATGAGGGCGGGCAGCCATCTGGTCCTGCAGCTAAAGAGCACTGGTCACCGACCCGTCTATCCCCTCCAGTGGGTGAAAGCACACAAAGACGTGGGATGAGGGGGTAGGTGATGATTGTCTATCTGTAGCTATGTATGTGTGTGTAAGCCTGTAGATTCCAATAGGTGTCCTTGACAGTGAGCATGAATTTCAGAGCGTCTCCTTATCTTGCTTTCCGGGAGAAGTTGTTTTTCTCCAGCCGAGGCCGTCTGGCAGGAAAAACACAGGGTAGCCGAAAGAGCAGAGAAGCACTTTAACTTTAGGCCAATATCTGCCAATTTTTCATATATTTAATGTCCGTCACTGGTCTCCAGGTCTGGCCAAATCTTGTTGCAAAGCCGCTAGTTTCACCCCGATGTTTTCCAGTCTGGTTACTAGCGAGCCTGCCCATCACCGTTTCAATCAAGCTGGCCAGCTTGGTGGGGTTTTGAACAGTACTGATCGCTTTCATCAATCATCGATACCCCAGGGCCCCGCATAACCCCATCAGCAGAAACCCTGTTATCAAAGGTCCGAATAGGTAAATATCTTGAAAATCCTCCAGAGACAAAGCAGCCAGGCACACAACGTGCCACCTCTCCCACCCGTCCATCATGTATCCAGCTGCAAACGTCCCCGCAGGACAAGTGGGCTCTCCCGAGCCCAAACTTCTCGTCGAGAAGATGGTGTCAATTGCATTCAGAGACCAGTTGATCAAATCCATAATTCTTTATTCGTTTGGTTAGCAGGGCACGGAGAGCCTCAGAGATAGAATAAGAGATAGAATAAGACGAAGACAAGAGTGGATAACAAGGAGAGATTTGGGACGGAGAGGGGAAAAAAAGTGTAAACTAGATTGCTGTTAGAGGATTGCTGCTTAGTCAGGTCAGTCATTTATAAGGGATTTATAATAGTCTTCAGTTTAAATTAGGTCACAAAACTCAAAGTTGTGTTAATAAAGCATTAATTATCAGAGAAACTACTACTCGTTGCCTGACGAATAAAATGTATAAATGTGTCAGCGCCAGTGGTAGTGGTTAGTGCGTCGACACATGCACTCCGGTGATCACGGCGACCCGAGTTCGATTCCCGCCTCGTGGTCCTATGTCGATCCTTCCCCTCTCTCTGCTCCACACACTTTCCTGTCAATACTCTCTACTGTCTGATCAATTAAATGTGAAAATCCCGATAAAAAAAAGATATATAAATGTTCATTTGAGTAGTTTATTAATCCTTTACTCAATTCTGAATGATCTGAAAAAACACCAGCGACTCTTACATAACTGCTTTGTAAATAATGCAATAATTTACTTACTCCCAGCGCCATTTATATTGAAGTTGATATTTGGCCACACCATGTTGATGTTTTTCATAACATCTAGTTTTTATAAGGTGAGTTGTTAGCCCAATGCTCAACCCACAATCTGGAGGACCAGGGCATACACTCATACACAATTTAGCTGACCCAATTCTTTTATAGCGCTTGGACTGTGGGGGAAACACAGTCCTCTGGTGCACTTGGAGGAAACCCACGCCAATACAGGAAGAAAATGCAAACTCCACACAGATATGCCAACTGGCCCAGTCGGGACTTGAACCAGTGACATTCTTGCTGTGATGTGACAGTGCTAACCACTGAGCCACCACGCCACCCAATTCAATAATTTAGAAGTGACTGATGAATCATAAACAAAGTATGAAAATACAATCATTAAGCACATTATATGTGATCATAAAGTCAAGAATGCAGCATTTACAGCTGTAGTTAACTGCTTACTAATGCATATGAATGTAGAGGTAATCATTTACACATGATTAATTAGCTATTTGCTAATGCTTAATAAATTATTCATAGTGTGCAGTTATTACACATTTTCACCCATATTTCTTGTTGAGAGTACTATCTGCATTTATGTGTTTGCTCTATCAGTATTTCAGCAGGCGCTAGCACACTCTCTATATAAACAGCTGAATAATTCATTCAGTTCATTCATTCATCATTTTACAGCATTGTGCACAAGAGTCTTCCAGCGGGTGAAGGGAGATACCGTGTTCGGATGATCCCTTATCAGGATGATGAGTTCACGCAGCCCTTCAATGGAAGTGTGGATGCAGAGCTGGACCAGGAGATGCATGTGGAGGTTCGAGTGGAGGGAGTCGACAGCCGCCAGTTTGCCCTGGTGATGGACACGTGTTGGGCTACACCTGTGAATGATCCCGACAGCAGTCTCCGCTGGGATCTCATCGCTCATGAGTAAACATACAACATTTTCAAGTGTATTTTATTGCTGAAGCGCAGGATTTCTTTTTGTTTGGTTTGTATGAGGAATACAATATGTGCTGTATAACTGGAGAAGACTGTATAGGATGTATTTTAAGATACCATCTGGGGAACACTTTACAATAACAATACATGATAAATAATAATTGCCTAATATGTAAACTAACATTACTTTATTTTGAACAAATAATAAGTTAAGGCTTGCACCAATCAGGAACTAACTTTAAATGCAACTTGAGTTCATGTGTGAATAATGGCTACGTATTATTACATGTTTGTTAATTATTATGCTAATTAAACCGTTAGTTTTATCTAAATTAACTAACATTAACTTATTATTAACATGTTAATGTATCTTTATGGCATGACCTTACTTGGAGGGGCACATTATCAACTCATTCTTAACTACTCATTGACACACATTGTGCATGATGTTCATGAGTAGTTAAGAATGATAATGTGCCCCTTCAAGTAAAGTCATGACTAGGCCCACACGGAATCTGCGCGCACAGAATTCCGCAGATTTTCCGCAGATTTCGGCAGATGTTTAGCCCATTATTAATTCTGTTTATTTACTTGAGTAAATGTGTAAATCTGAATTTTTTCAGTTTTTATTCAGTAATTTATTTATTTTTATTTAATATTAAGGTTTTAGTTATGATACTCCGCTGGATACTCCCAAAGTAATTCCGCAGATACCGCAGATTTTTACCAAAATTCTCCGCAGAAACAGCAAAAAAAAAATCTGCAGATTCCGTCTGGCCCTAGTCATGATATAAAGATACATTAAGTGGTTATGTGTTCATTTTAGTTACGTTTAGTTAAAACTAACGAGGTAATACATTAACAAACATGTACTAACAAGGAATTAAGGTAGCCATTATTCACACACAAACTCATGTTGGAGTTAAAGTTAGTTCTTCATTAGTGCAAACTCATTATTCTTTTATATTAACGTTTAATTCACATCATTATTCATGTAGTGTTATTGTAAAGTGTTACCACATCTGGTTTGCTGATAATCATCATTGATTTCCTCAGATGTCCCAATCCGGCTGATGAAACAGTGGATCTGCTGCAGAACGGCGTCTCAATGTCCAGCCGTTTCTCCTTCAGGATGTTCGTCTTCAATGCAAACTCTAGCAGGCTTTACCTGCACTGTGCTGTTCACCTGTGCCTTCTGTCCAGCAACCACTGCACACCGGTGAGGACACACGCTTATGAGTAGGCCCACACGGAATCTGCGCGCGCAGAATTCCGCAGATTTTCCAGAGATTTTCCGCAGAATTCCGCAGATTTTTAGCCCATTATTAATTGTGTTTATTTGCTTGAGTAAATGTGTAAATCTGAATTTATTCAGTTTTTATTCAGTAATTTATTACTTTTTATTTAATATATTAAGGTTTTAGTTATGATACTCCGCTGCATAATCTCAAAATAATTCAGCAGAAATCCACACATTTTTTGCCAAAATTATCTGCAGAAATAGCAAAAAACGTCCGCAAATTCCGTCTGGCCCTGCTTATGAGGCAGGAATGGAGATGGAAAGTGTTTGATTTTTGGCAGAAAATTATCCACAAATGGGTGGTTTAACCCTCTTCATTTATTCAAAAACTACTGGAGGTTTTTTCTTCTTCTCCTGAGCACAAAATAAGATATTTAACTTTAGACTTTTTCTACACTGAAAGTCAGTGACCATCAGTTCCCAATAAAAAACTCATAAAGGTTTGGAACTACTTGAGCACTAGTAATTTGTGATTTGATTTGATTTTTGGCTGAACTGTCTCTTTAATGTCTTATAATTAGCGTTAATGTCAGGGATGCTACAACACTTGCTTTTGCTGCCCTCTTCTGGAGACTCTCTATTCAGAATTAGACTTCACCTATTATGTCTATTTTTACAAGATGTAAAATAAGTCTCTGATGTCGCTAGAGCGAGTGTGTAAAGTTTCATCTCAAAATATGCAAAAAAAGATCTCATGGATGCATTTGGTACACATCATTAATGATGTATCTTGAAATCATTTGGTGTTTCGGATCTCTCAACGTCATACACTCTCACCCAGGTGACCAAGCCGGGGTTGATCAAGTCCCGATTTGTGTCCCAATAGAAGTCCACAGATCCGCTCTCTTAATCCACAGCCACCTTGTGGCCTTCTCTGCGGCTTCACTTGCAAATCAAATGGCCCTTTTCTTTGCTACCCCTATAATGCCCAAAGGACGACCTGCAAAGCCTCTACATCCTATTTCTATGGGCTTATATGCAACCCCGCCAGTCCTACGCCACCCAACCCTCTTTGAGCTGGTATCGAACCTGCGACCTTCCACATGGGAGTTGGTTGCTCTACCAAGGAGGCTAAAGACCATGACCTCTAGCATTTGTCACTAGAGCACCTTTAGAGGTTAGAGGAGTGAGGTTTACCTGCACAGCACACACTAGCTGGCCTCCGCTACACTCACCCCCCTAAACCCGCTCCAAGCTGGGATCGAACCGGCGACCTTCCGCATGGGAGTCGGTTGCTCTAACAAGGAGGCTAAAGACCATGGCCTCTAGCATCTGTCGCCGGCCTCCGCTACACATAAAAAGTTCTCCAGCCTCTCTCCCAGCACTCATTCCTGGTATTTAGCGTGCATCCTCTCATCTGCTTCTTCAATACGCTCTTCCCAAGGCACTGTAAGCTCCAGAATAATTAGCTGTCTTGAAGCTTCTGAGAAAACTGTTATGTCTGGGCAGAGACTTGTTTTTGCGATGTGATGAGGAAACCTCAGCTATTTTCCCAGGTCGACCTCCAGCTGCCAGTCCGAGGCTTTGAACCTGACCCTTCTAGGTTTTGATCCTAATTGTGGTGTTTTGGTGACTGTCGCTTTAAATGCAGATGAGATTAGCTCTTTTCAAGAGAATAAAAAGTGACAATCACTGCAATTCATAATAATTAACAGCAATAATCATCAAATTAACTCCATAATTGTGTCATGTCATTATGCTTCATGCTTGTTCAGTGATGTTTGACAGGGGTTTACACTCACAGTGCTGGATCTCTTCTTCTTCTCCTGTAGAGCTGTAACTCTGAGAGGAGAGAGCGCAGGTCTCTGGAGCTTCAGGACAGCACTTCCATATCAATGGGTCCTCTGATGCTGTCTGGAAGAAAAACAGGTTGAGATTTACAATTATTTAAATTATTAGTAATGTGATTTTTCTATCAGTGTTGTCAAAGGCACTAGCTGTGATACTATTCAGAACAACTTTCATTTCCAACATACAATAGACAATCAGATGTGTTTAAGGGTCTGCTCAACAGTGCACAAATGTCAGCAGGAAATTTAACAGTTTAAAATGACTGTGTGAATTAGTATCAATGTTGTTTTTCTATGGTACATCAGTCATTTCTATGTTGTAGTTCAATTTATAGCATTATTTCCTCTGTTCACAGATCAGTGGGTCCCAGAAAAAGTCTGAGGCGTCTTGTATTTGTGCTTCACTCATGGCTCTGCTGGTTCCTCTCATCAGTGTCTTCATCATCTTTTAGAGAAATAACCTTTAATCTCACTTCTGAATTTTAGGCATTTTATAATCTCATATTAATCAATGTGTCATGGGAGCCAAACTGTTTGTGGATTGCTAAATGTGTGATTATTTAATTGTTTTTTGTTTTGGTTTTGCATATATATCTTCTCTTCTTTTTCTTTGGCCTTTGTCCCGTATGATTGCGGGGTCGGCTCGTTTTGGAACAAGTTCCATATGGTAACAACTTTTTTACACCTTCCGGCCGGCCTGTCACACTTATACACTACGGACAATTTAGCCTACCCAATTCACCTGTAGCATGTCTTTGGACTGTGGGAGGAAATCGGAGCATTTGGAGGAAACCCACGCGAACGCAGGGAGAACATGCAAACTCCTCACAAAAAAGCCAACTGAGCTGAGGTTTGAACCAGTGACCTTCTTGCTGTGAGATGAACTTACTATCCACTCCGCCACCCCTTCGGTTTCTGGGCATATGTGAAGTCAGAATTATTCGCCCCCTTTAAAATCTTTTTCTTCTTTTTAAAATATTTTCCAAATGATGTTTAACAGATCAATGAAATTTTCACAGCATGTCTGATATTTTTCCTTCTGAAGAAAGTCTTAATTGTGTTATTTCTGCTAGAATAAAAGCTGTTATAAATTTTTTAAACTCCATTTTATAGACAATATTATTAGCCCCTTTAAGCTATATTTTTTCTCGATAGTCTACAGAACAAACCATCATCATACAATAACTTGCCTAATTACCCTAACCTGCCTAGTTAACCTAATTAACCTAGTTAAGCCTTTAAATGTCACTTTAAGCTGTATAGAAATGTCTTGAAAAATATCTAGTCTAATATTATTTACTGTCGTCATGGCAAGGATAAAATAAATCAGTTATTAGAGATGAGTTATTAAACTCATCAAAGAAATCTGCTCTCTGTTAAGCAGTAATTGGGGAAAAAATAAACAAGCTGTCTAATAATTCAAGGGAGCTAATAACTCTGACTGCAACTGTGTGTGTGTGTGTATATATATATATATATATATATATATATATATATATATATATATATATATATTATAGTATGTATGTATGTATGTATATATATATATATATATATATATATATATATACATATGAATATTATTTCATCAGTTAGATACAATCATTAATCAAACAAAATGTGAAAACAACAAAATTAAACAGATTCATGTTTATTAGACTCATTCCTGTTCTGTAATCCCTCTTTAGTTTAATTAATCTTTAATAAATGAACATGCTTGTGTTGCAGTTAATGGAAGTGTTTCTGTACAAGCCCGACTCAAAGCATGCCATTTCACCTGATAAGAAAAGCAAGTAAATCTTTACATTAAAGTGTAAAAAGATAAACTGGTCAAATAAAATAATTAAGTTAAATTAAAAAATAATAAAAATCATACATAAAAAAACATACATTTGAGTAATCAAGGTTCACAGCTACCTCTTTACAATAATATTGTGCACTGGTGACTTTACAATGCGTTTCAAATTATGCAAATGATACCTTTCACTGAATTTATTATTTTTTTTCCATCAACAATTAGCAATAATTACAATTTTATTGAAAAAAACCTCCAAATAATAATAATAATAACAACAACATTAATTTATTACTTAAATGCACTGCTCCAAATCATCATGCATAAGAAAGTATAGATTGTAAAGACCCAAAAATAGCGATTTATTGAATTTGCTTACTTAAGAGGTCATATTTCCTGGAATAAAAAGCTATTTTAAATCACAAACAGGGCAAGTTACATGTATAAAAGAGCCCCTTCTTTGATATTACCATTCTTGCATCATTAAACTTGTAAGTTTTAGATAGTTTCTGGTTAAATTCCTTTGCAGGATGTCAGAATCGCCTCCCATAGCTGCTGGCAGGACCCTACTCTCAGCTTCTGAACACCACTTTATGGAACCATCCCAAAGAGGCACAAAATCTATTGCAAGGGCATTCACCTTTAATGTTCCATCCTGGTATAATGACTTGCCAAACACTACACAAAACATTGAAGAACATATTATCAATACTTCATCACTTATTTCCACATCAGCAATTCAACTGTTCTGAGTGTGCCTCACACATGTGAGTGGGCGAGACAAACCCTCAGTTGGACACACTCTCTCCTCTCCGTATGCACCAGACACTTTATTAATATCAACACTTGTGTAAAAACATCTTGTGTGCTTCATGCAGGTGTGTGGGCTGGAAAAAGCTCCTGTAGGATAAACTCTTTCCCATTTCTGTACTTGTGGTAGCATACATACACTGCAACTCTCTAATGATTTGAATGCTTCTTTATCCTTTTAATAAGTTTCTTTGGATAAAAGTGTCCGCTAAATGAGCCAATGCTTCTTGACCCTGCATACATATCAACCTATTATTGGGGACATCACAAACTAGAATATGAACCTTTTTAATCTATATTAGGGACACTTTAATGCTGTAATACAGGGGTGTCAAACTCAGTTCCTGGAGGGCCGCAGCTCTGCACAGTTTAGTTCCAACTGTAATTGAACACACCTGATCAAACTAATTGAGTCCTTCAGGCTTGTTTGTAGCCTGCAGGTAGGTGTGTTGAAGAAGGGTTGGAACTAAACCGTGTAGGGGCTTCGGCCCTCTAGGAACTGAGTTTGACACCCCTTCTGTAATATGTAGAGCCGCAGTTCTAGAGTCTGACCGCCAGAGGTCAGTATGCAGACTCAGAAAACTGAGACACACACAAGCAATGCATATTGCACAAACAAAATGCAACTTCAAACACAATTAAAATGAGTTTTTCTTTTATTTACATTGAAAATGATAAAAGACACAAGGGCATTTTATATGGCATATGGATTTAGGTTTAAGTTTAGGTCTGAGATACTGACACAGTGTGCTTTTCACAGTATTCAAGTGTAATGGAAAGTAAACAGTCCTTGCTACACATTTTACTCACAGACATCCGATATGTATTATTATTGTTATTATTTATGTATATTTTATGGTCATCATCTGTTTGCTGCCTTTTATTCCTTGCTCATTGCATTTTGAAGTTTTACCTACACCAAATCTCAGACAAGGTAGACCATGGGTCTCAAACTGGATTCCTGGATGGGTTGCAGCTCTGCACAGTTTTGCTCCAACCCTAATCAAACACAGCTGAACCAAATAATCAAAGTGTTCAAAAGAGTCTCGTCCACCTTGATTAGTTGCATCAGCTGTGTTTGATTGGGGCTGGAGCAAAACTGTGCAGAGCTACAACCCTCCAGGAATCCAGTTTGAGACCCATGAGGTACACAGAAACAGGTTTCACCTCAGCACTTTAATTAATAGCCAATAAAGGCCTTTCTATTGATTACTGAGAAAGGTTTGAATAATTATGGACATGCCACTATTTGTTCAAAGGTAAATAAAAGCTGAGAAATAAATAAATAAATAAATAAATAAATAAATAAATATATTCTTTTTTTTTTTTAACATTGATGCCTCTTGTACACCAGCAAAAAAACTTGCTGGTTAAATACAAGTCAGTATTTGCCAGAGGTATGAATAATTTCCAGCTTAGTCCAGGACATTTCTAATTAAAGTGGAAATTTGCTGCATCATGGAGCTAAAATCACGAGGAACCAATTCATACTACGCCAGCATTACTAAAGTGCACAATTCAATTCAATTCAGCTTTATTTGTATAGCGCTTTTACAATGTAGATTGTGTCAAAGCAGCTTCACATAAATAGTCATAATAACTGGAACAGTGTGGTTCAGTTTTTAGTGTTTAACCACACTGGGTAAAACATACAGAGCATCCAGAAGGTATTCATAGCGGTTTACTTTTTCTACATGTTTTTATGTTACAGCCTTATTCCAAAATAGATTCAATTGATTTATTTCCTCAACATTCTACACACAATCTCTCATGATGACAATGTGAACAGAGTTTTAGAAATTGTTGCAAATTAATTCAAAATAAAAATGCTGAAAAATCACATGTACATCAGTATTCAATTTCTTTGTTAATGCAAAAATCTCAAGTCTTTTTGAATATGATGCCACAAGCTTGGCACACCTGTCTTTGGGAATTTTTGCCCATTCCTCTTTGCAGGACCTCTCAAGCTCTATCAGGTTGGAAGGGAAGTGACGGTACAGCCATTTTCAGATCTCTCCAGAGATGTTCAATAGGATTTAGGTCTGGGCTTCGGCTGGGCCACTTAAGTCTCTGTACATTGCTGTATTCATCTTTCCCTCTATCCTGACTAGTCTTCCAGTTCCTGCTTCTGAAAAACATCCCCACAGCATGATGCTGCCACCACCATGCTCCACTGTAGTGATGCTATTAGCCTGGTGATGAGCGCTGCCTGATACCACCCCAGTGACAGCTTACATGCCTTTCACACTTAGCTGATGATTGGTAATAAGCTAGTTTGGCATGCTGTCCTGGGAGATAGCCCTGAGCTCATGAGATCCTCGAGCCTGGAGCTCCCTCCCATTGCAGGGCGAGGGAAGTTTGAGCTCGGGTAGATCTCGAGAACCCCCATCTCCCCCCCACCCCCCACCCCTGCTGCGTAAGGATTGCTAAGGTGATGTGTTGCTGACAGAATTGAATTTGGTGCTAATTTGGTTTAGTC